TATAAGGGCACAATCTATTACTAATTGATTTATAATGTACTTACCACTATTGTGTTAGTTATTATGTACATATTGGTGGAATGATTCGGTTTATTATTCTGATACTAGGAACTGGGAACTAATAACCTATTATTGATTTGAGACAATTAATAATAGTTTATATGATAATTAAGAGAGATATTTTGTATACTTACAAATTACTGTTTTATTTTATTTTATTCCTTTTCAATATAGGATGAGATGATGATAGAGGGAGACTTTATATAAAAAATATTATCCATTTTGGGTACCATTATTCCACTTGTGTTTCTATCGTGAAGCAGATGTAATTGAATGGCTATCAGTCAATTTGAAAGTGGAATATGACAGTAAAATTACAGAGTATGCAGGTATAATATCATAATCCTACGAAATGACAACGTATATGAAGTACCAGGAGCATTACAGTGTAGTTTTTCGTGTTAGCGGTATGGTTCATGTTTATAGGTGACAAGTACCTTTAACGAGATAAACTGTTGGCTTTTTCTAAACTTAACTGACAATTACCATAATTACTTGTATTTAAGCTATATTGGGAACTAAATTCACTCTAAATGCAATGTTTGTTGCAATTAACTGTCTACTGTAGAACTGTGGTTTTGCCAATAGTTGCCATGCTTGGCATGCGGGTTGGCAATCGCAGTTAGCCTTTGGTAATGTTTTAAGAGAGACGCATTATCCCAGTATTACCATGTTTTATACCCCTCATGAGACAAGACTTGAGACCAATAGTGAGATGTAATAATAGAGTAATCAAAAAGTGGATAGAAGAGTGATCATATACCTATCGAATGTGGTATGATTATAAATTATTTATATATTCGTGTAAAAATATTATTGTTAACAATAAATTATTTCAAACAATTATGATATATATAGACGATGAACTACAAACAACTTTTCATTATCTTGATTGATCATTGATGAGTGAACGTGAAGGAATTTCAAACAGTTTTATGCAGAATTTGAAAACAACTGTTTTTGTAAATTGAACTTTGCGAGTGTTCACGAATACTAAATTGTGTTTGTAACACATTCACACAGAAACTATTGAACGGATTTTAATGAAATTTAGTACACGGATAGATTATATCCTAACTTAAAATAAAGTATATTTTATAAATTTATTCACGCGAGTAAATCTGTGTGATATAATTAGTAATATTGTAAATGTGTACTACTCGTAAATAAACATGCTACTTTGAAAGGTACACACATTTCACTAATTTACACGAACAGAACCAAAGGATATAACTAATTACAAATAAAGTAGTATAAGGATTCTTTTATAGTCACGTAGGTACTCTATGTGATTAGAAAATAATACATTTCTAATGTACTGATGAGAGATAAGAAATATCTGCCTCTGTTAACAGAGGCTGAGCGTAGTGAAAGTATGTAGATAATAATATGTGGGAAGCAGATGTTTATATAAATTTACAGGATTAGTAGAAATGGCTATACCAAGTTGAAAACTATAGTATTTATAAAACTAAACTGATATATAGTTCAAAAAGCATATTTGAATGAACGAATGAGTATAATTTTGTTTGCATTATACAATATAGGAAATAGAATAAAATAAGCAATTGATAGATTAATTTGTAATTTGAAAAATATTTCAACCTTTTATAATGTGACTGTATTAGTTGAAAAAAATAAAATACGAGATTTTGACTACGCTCTTAAAAAGTTCTACGTGTTTTAAAAGTATATTGTAAAAATGTTTTATTATCTCTTTCAGTTTTATTTTGTATATAAATTGTAGATTATATAGATAGTGTCTCCATACAAATGCTTCGAGAAAAGCGGATCAACTTTTTCATACAATTTTGCGTGATAAATAGTTATGAGTGTTATAACTTTTATATTTATTTTGTTTTATAATTTTGCATATTTTAATTGCGTCAAAACTCATTTTATTTATTAAATAATTAAATATAAATACGTCAAGATATATTATGTGTGATAGAACACTCATAAAAAACGAGTCAGCTAATTTGACAATTAGCTGACAAAAAGTTGTCCCGTTTTTGAGACTCGATGCTCTATGTATATAATCGAAGATATAGACATAAAAGGAGATAACTACTGGATCTAGCAACATAAAATTTAGTGAACACTAAAAATAATTCAAGAACTGTATGTTTGCAATACTTTTATTTAATATAAATTAAATTGAGAGTTAATGTTATTTTTTACGATTTAACAATAGCTTTTATTTACCGGCAATGTAATTTAAGATTTATCTCGATACTGAGATAACTGTTAAAAGTGAACGGTCTGACATTCGGCTGTGAACTGACCACCGTTAAATGACACAAGGTTAAATTTATGCTTGCACTGCTGCTTACTCTGGATTTATTATTATTATTAATTTATAACATTATCCTGTTTCACTATGACAAATAGTGGTGAAAGTTACTACTTTAGTAGTACTAAACAATTTTAGTAGATTTTACGATGCCTAGACTATGTGCCATATATTGCTATATCATTTTATATTTTTCTTGATTGATAAAGAAGGAATGGTTTGTTAGTAATGGGAATTGGCTGTCCTATGCTATAAAATTTAGGTTGATTTCTATGTAGCTCTAAATGTGGAATACTACTCCGCTTATATGATAATTCACATAAGCGGAGTATATTTACTTGGGTTGAGTTACTTTTTTATTTTTATCATTTAAATATTAAAAAAAAAGAAAATATCTCTACATTGATCGCTAGTCGTATGAAGGTGGAATTAGATTAAAAGTACATTACACCTAGTTTAATAGAAAAAAAAAAATCGCATAAATAATAGCATTGTGTGCAGACTAAACCCGCTATCAGAACGTGAAGCAACCGTTACAAATATAAGTCGTAGGAGAGTTTATATATGAGTTTATTTGCATGGTTGCCAGTTCAAAATTATCCTGACGGAAACGCATTACTCGGTCAATCCTATATATTAATAGGATAGTGTATCCGTGTGCCAAATTTCTTATACCCGTTCAGACTTTAATACGAGATTGAGCAACAAAGCCTAAATTATATTAAAGAATTCATGTCACTGAATTAAGTTTACCACGGTCAGCGGCTAGTTCTCAATAAATTGATGAGGAATAACAAAAGCGTTTGCATCCATATTGTGCGTCATTTCATCACACTTATATTTCATAAACAAACGTAATTGTTTAATGCGATTGAATTAACCACAGAGACGAGGTCAAAAGCACATTCAATTAAATGGGGGAAAAGTTTTAGGAAATGTAAGGTATTTATCTCCCAAATGCTAACTAACTAATATTATAAAATTTATTTCAATGTTATGTGAAATTTATGCTTTTTATCTTTGTATTGTTTACTTGTTTTTAATAAACTATTTAAGTTCATCTGAATCATTTAAAATAAAAGTACTTTAATAAGGAAAAAGGTTTTAGAAAATGTGTAGCATTTGCGTCTTCAATGTTAATTTAGAGCAAATATTCGATTGTTATGAGAAAACTGTTTCTTTTATTTTCATATCGTATACTGTTATTTAAATTCACATGAATGTTTTAACGTAAAAGATGCAATAATGTAATACCCCTAATACTATTCGTATATGGTTGAGTCATAAGAATAAATATTGAGTGCAGTGATGGTTGGATCATTCGTCATACTCGTAAATGGATTATGCTTATGGGCATTCGCAAAACGTTATTATTTTTTTACTATGGCACTACTCTGTTCGAATTATTACTTATTTAATTGTTTTTTCGTTAACATTTGATATTATCAATTCTACTAATTGCTACTGTATTCATCAAAATTTTTAGTCTAAGTAAATATATGGAATGTATTTTTAAATGAATATTTTATATATATATATATATATATATATATATATATATATATATATATATATATATATATATATATATATATATATATTCTATACTTATTTCATCACAAGCAAAGATTAAAATTGCTATAATATAGCAAAATAAAATATGCTTAAGGGTGAGTCAACGGGCGTTGGCTGAGGAATTTGAAAATGAGGTAACTTACGTGATTGTTTTATAAAAACGTGATTAAAACCATTTTAATTGCAATTCATAAATTGACAATTGTATTTAGTTCTACATACTGTATAAATTATGGAATCTAGCACAATTCGAGAGTGGCTTTCAAATGTGATTGCGATAGAATAAGATAAATTAAAATGTAAAAAAAAAAATTAATAGTGATTCTTTTTATTGATCGACCCTTTAATATAGAAAATAAAAAAGCATTTAAAAAGACTTTATTATTAGGTATCCTGTACAATTACATATATATATATTATATGATATAGTTTATGGTAGGTTTATGATGCTTCTCCCAGATTTGTTTAGGGCTTATCAATAAAAAGAATCATATTTGATTTTTTTAGATTAATTTTATGTTACTAAAAATCTGTTCAGTTCATATCTTCTTAAAAAATTCTATTCTTATAACCTAATGTCACATTTTATAATTGTATAGGCAATGTTCTAAGATAGCGCTGTATTCAATTGGCTTATTATATGACACCGAGATATAAGAACAATTTTTATTTTTATTTTAAAACGTCTAATTTATTTATTTACAAGAAACATGGTAAGTGTATAGATGTTACAATAAGTATAAGTCCTCATATCTCGCCATAATTAGGCATGCAAATATTAAAACTTAAAAAGAATAAATGTTAAATAAGTCATTAAAATTCGAAATGTTATATAAAAAAAAATACATCAAAAATGTCAGACACTTGTCAATAATAAAAAAGAAAGAAATGTCACTGTCAAATCATGGACTATTGATAACAGCTGCATTGTAACACGTTAAGTAATTCAAGTAGGTTGTTTACCTTTTTGTATCAAAAACTCTTGCACACTGTAAAAGGACTCCTCAATAAGCCAATGTTTTAATGAATCTTTAAATTTTCGAAATGGCAGTTCTAGTAAAAATATACTTACGGGAACTACACCTTCTCTCTCCACATTGGATTGTTGTACGAAGTAGTGGGAGACTTGTATGTGGGGTTCTCTTCGATCCTTGTCTTAGGTCCGTCCAGTTCCTGGTACTGCGCGCTGGTGGATGGCATGGGAGCAGGCCGATTCTTCAGCATCATATAGGCCACTCCGGCGGCCACGCACACCACTGCCGCCCCCGCCAATACGAGAGGCAATGTTACTGGAGGAAAAAAGTAAAATTTTAAATGTTTATTTACATACATAGGGGATATAATGCAATCAAAAATTCATTGTGTTATGATTGTGTGTTAGCGTTCTATCAAAAAAACTGAAATAAAACAAATAAAACTAAAACAAATAAAACAAAAAAAGTTGAGCTCACATTAACGTATTAGTTGTATCCCGCGACTTTGCTCATATAAATCAATATGTATATAAATTATCCTATGTGTAAAGTTAGAATATGACGCATCTGTGTATCAAATTTCATTTAAATCCGTTTAGATGTTTAAGCGTGATTGAGTGACAAACATTCAAAAATTTTTTGTAAGTACATATTTTAATGTAATAATTATTGTTTTAACTTATGTGTAATTTGATCGAAAAGGCTCGACTAGTTTAGGGATCAATTATGAAGACTAAAAACTAAAGTCAGACTCTCGCTCGCGTAACAGTCGCTCAAGACTAAAGATCACGAATTGATATTGAAACTAGTCGAGCTTTTTCGAACTAATTACACGTTAGTTAAACCGATAAAGTAAAAAAAAACAAAAACAAACTTTCACTTTTATAATACTATCTCGCGGTATCAGTATATAAAATATCTTATGTTCTAAGTTAGGATATAACCTATCCGAATACCAGATTTAATTTAAATCTGTTTATTATATAAAGGTATTTGACACTCTAGAAATATATTGTATATTGTAAAAATATTGTATAAATGAGGATAAGAAATGCCTAACTTACATATTGTGTGTATTATGTAGGCATTAAGCATCGAATTGATCAACAAAAACAAGTAAGGTAACATAAAATAACAATCCAGTGTAAGAGAAGGAAAAATCTAAGTAAAACTCTATACCATATAATACTGAACCTAATATGCTTTGGTATAGATGTTTAGTTGGCTTGGCTTGTTGCATCTGGTTAATGTAATCTCACTATATAAAGTGAAATATTCCTTTCAGTAACTGTGAAAACAAACTAAATTAAGAACAGTATGTTGAAAATGATAAATCAAGACATACTCGTATAGGTACATCAGCTGTCAAACGCTAAGTGAATACGCTAAAGTGATTCACAGTATTCGAGGTCATCTCACCCGAGAGATAAACGATTATAAAACCACAAATTCGACGCCCGTTATATCGAACAAAGGATGCTCTTAATTGCTTTATCCGAAGTACAGAGAACCGCGAACATCTTTGGTAACATACCAAAAATGTTCGCGGTTCGTATTATATTGTATTCTCTGACTATAAGGTAGTCTAAGATCCCACCATTCTTTTCTGCAGGCATGTATATCCGGATGTATTGTATTATAAGTTGTAACTACTGTATTATAATGTATATATCCGGGTTGCATGTCCTCAATTAGGGTTGTCAAGTGATAAGAGGTAATCATTATATCATATCAGTCATTAAATGTCTATTACTGAACATAGATCTTTCCCTATTGTAGGAGGGTTCAGCTAGTAGTTGCTATGCTTGGCAGGCGGGTTGGCAACCGCAGTTAGACTTTTGGTGTTGTTTTAAGATGCTGCTGCCGCCTCTACCATTAAGTTCCCTTAGTCAGCTCTTACGGCACCTACAGGAAAAGAAGTGGTGGCCTATTCTATGACAGGACCACATGGCTATTTATTATAAAATGTACTTTAATAAGTAATTTATTATATATAACCAGTTCTGAACTAATTTTAACAGTTTTTTACATTTTAGCTTTACTTCCGTGTTGTTCTAATATTACATATTTTTTTTTATGTCTGAAGTCGCTAATTTTATTCTGTAAAGCTTTTTTTTTGTAGAGCAAATGCATCTTGCATCAGAAGGTTCCAGTTGTCTTTACTCTTAATATGTTCCAGAGGGTTACTATGATTATTTATTTAGTGAACTGATGTTATCACTCGAATGGGGTCGAAATATTAGTGCGCTTAAACTAATAAATAAACGTTTTTTTTATACTACTTAGAATGGTAAACAAGCTGACGGCCCACCTGATGGAAAGTGGTAACCGTCGTCTATAGACATGAGCAGTATCATGGACATAACAGAGTATACTGTTACGCCCATGATACCACCCATGCGTTGCCATTCCTGAGAACTCAGGTGTTATTCCTCTGTACCCTGTAAATTCACGTCATATCCCACCCTTCAAACCGAAACACAGCCATGCAAACACAACTGCTATACGGTTGAAACACGAACGTGATAAGATTCCGTCATTTATGCATATTGTTACCATAAATTGGCTATTTAACAAATTATCCGATAATTCTCTACATTCAACAAATTACTATAATCTTTACTCATAAAAATTATTTTATAACTATATAATTACTCTCTACCAATAAATCATTGCATGCCATATGAGAAAGATTATTATTATTTTATTCTTAAAGTTTTTGACGCTCACGCATACTCATTGATCATTCGATTAAATCAAAATGGCACTTGTGTGAAAGTTTCTAACGTACCTTCTGTAATTACAGAAAAAGTATTTTTTATATATGATATTACCATATTATTATAGTATTACCATATTAGTACTATAAGTTACGTTTTGCCTGCTTTGTCATTCTTAACGTAACTACATTACGAATAATTTAATAATTTCTACCATAAAAAGTCTTTTATCATGGTAAAATATAGAATTTTTGTTTTTGTTTTGATTGCTAAAACAATTGTAATGCAGTTCGAATTTGGCGAATTAAAATATTGCATATTTAACTATTGGTTGTAAAAATTTACCAAGCGTGGCAACTGCTTGCAAAACCCCCCTTATGGGGGAGGCTAATGTTCAGCAATGGACAGTTAACAGGTGATTTGATAATTGCAAAAATAATAATGAAAATCGGTTTACATTTTGCAATGTTGTATGTATGTCGCAGTCAGCACAGGTTATATGAAAAATACAGATAATTTATTTCAGAATTACTTTTTAAAAATAGTTAAAATATTAAAAGAGATATTAGAATGCATCCTATATCCGAAGATATCTTCAGATGCGTGACTTACAAGACATCTATTATTATTATCAGAAAACGAGTCTGTACTTACTTGTAGTTATCTATCTTTATTAGGTAAATATATGTATGAGAATTTAATATAGATAATGTATTCTATAAGTAAACGTATAATATCCTGAGCTTGATTTACCTTACAAAGGTCCTGATAATCAAGGTTATAAGGAACTCAAGTGTACGCATTTAGTTATAAGCAATTGCAATAAAATGCACGTAAAGATAAAAAAATACATCGATATGTTTCTTACTGCGATATGTAGACACGTGGAATGGTTGGTAATTATTTTTTCAATATCATAAACGAAATGTAATGACGAGTAGCAGCTGGCAACTGCGTATTTATACACTAATGTGTCAACATGAGTAACGAATACAACTGTGTAAAGTTAACGTGGCTTAAATTGGTCTTTACTGTAAATACAATTAGAAAGAATTTCGTATAATCAATAGTCTAAAGCAATCACTATTTAGTTATCATCGTTGTCTTGCCTTTTTTCATTTAATGACAGACTGAAATTATATTTTATTTTTAACTTATAACTTTATTGGTTGAATTAATTTTTTATATAAGAATAAGTCTTTTACTTAGACCAGTTTTTTTAACATACTAAAACCAAAATTTTTGTCCTATTACTTATACTATGCTAAAACATTTGTTTAGAATCATAAATCGTAGCTTTAATATACAGAATATTATGTGACATATTCAAGTATTACTAAAGCATTTTAATCAGGTGCTTTCGTAATGTAAATTAGGCTATAAACACCTCTTGCATGTACTGCTACTTTCGAGCAATAGGAAATAATTAGGGATGACTCTTTTAAATATTTATTTATATATTTAAAAGTTTGCATTGGACTATTAAAAAAAAATATATGAATGCTTACCATTAACTCCTTGTGTGACCCCAGCGGCTACGGGCGCACACGAATTTATCCTCATCACAAGAATATCCTTATGTTCATCTTTACTAGCCGCGTACTGGACGTGACAGCCGTCTATTGTCTCCTCACATTTCACCCATACATTCCTACCAAAATCATCAGTTTGACTCATCAAGGACTCGTTGTAGTTCCTCATGACTATGCTCGTGCAGTCGGTGCATCGGCCGGCCGGCTTATCGAAGCATGTTTCGCATTCGTATGTGATCAGACATAAATCAGCGCAATAGTTCTCTTTGTCAAAGTACTGGTAGCCCTCTTTGTTTGTATCGCAAATGCAACCGCATACACCGCACCTTCCGTTGCCGGAACATTCCTGCGAAATACGTTATAGAATAAGAATGAAATAATAAGTGGAAGACAATTTCACTGCCTTAATTTTTGTAAGTATCAACAGTAATTGAGAATCTCCCTTCTTTTTTGAAGTCGGTCTAAAATGAGAATACAGTAACAGTAAAATTAGGAATAATTTATTTTTAAAGTCGGTTAAAAATAAATTTGACAACGCCGTGACGAAAACGGCATTTAACAAAACTTTAAAGATTTTTTACTATTATTCTTTACACTGTGGTATTGAAGGGATATCTTTGTACTTAACAAATTTTAGTTAAAATTTTTTTAACAGACAGTAGGTACTTATATCAAGAAAAATATCGGTAGGGAAAAGTGGCACATTTTTTCATTTATCCCTACTGGACACACAATGATAGGGACAGGCGGAAATAAATTCCACTCTAGGAGGGAAAGTTAGTGGTAGGGACAAATGGATCTAGCCGTAATTATGCCAAAAAAATATGTAAATTTGGATCATTGCGAAACTACAATAATTTTTTTCCACAAAGAAAATGCAGCGATTTCAATCGTGGCAAAAATTTATGTTTTTAAAAACAACTACTGTGAACCGATTTTGATGAATTTTCTATGAAATCAAATTTAAAGTAAATTCTTTTAGATAAAAAAGATTTATCCAAATCGGTTTACTCACGACGGAGTTCTGAGATAACAAATATAAAAAAATACGATTGAATTGATCCTCCTTTTTCGAAATCGATTACGAGTTGAGTAATGTAATTGTCTATTTACGCACACGCTATGATATTGTATTGTATTGTAAAATCTTTATTGTACATAATTTATATGGAATACATCAAAAGATTAAAATATACAATGGCGGACTTATCCCATAAATGGATCTCTTACAGTCAACCTTTAAGAAGCTGAAAGAAAACTGTAGAATGTACAAGGGTAATAACCGTACAGCTAAAGATAAACTAAATAATACCCAGTAAAAAATTGAATTTATTATACAATAAAACAGCTGTACACAACTGTTTTTATTGTATATAAATAATAAAAGTACATAAATAATAATATAACATTAATACATAAATAAATAATAATAAACTTACACACATAAATACATATATTGTATATATATTACAATATATGATCACAAACCTCGCTCCTTAATGGATGCTTGCACGGGATATCACCACGGGCGACATTGCATTCTTCTTTTTCACAGAAATCGCCTGACCTGTTGGTTAAAACACGAACAGTAAGTACATTTTAATTGGAAAAAAAAAATAACAATTATATCATCCCAAAACATATCATGAACAACGGCGTACATCTGGGAAGAAAGGGATTGTTAGTAATTCTTTCTAATTTCCCCATTACCAGGAGTACGCCCTATCAGATCAACCTCAACGCGGTTTGCCCTGGAAGCTATCTTGGTTAATTCTAGTAGGATTCATTACGATAGGTTAACAGACCTGCTTTCATCCTCACCTATCATCCCTCATTAGTACCTCGCTAGCGTATACCGATAGCACAGGGCTACCATTACATTATCACCCATAAAAAAAACGGCGTACATCTTACCTAAACATGTTACATTTTAACAGAGGGCCTACCATGAAATATTTGAGGCCGAAAGAAACACAAATTTGATATTAAAATTACATTATATGTACCATTTTAAATATTATTATTAAAATATGATTCCTTTGGATTTGTCGAACGAAATGTTAATGTTCTATTTACTGGACTGATTTCGATACGAACAAAAATAAGTCCGAAATTTCGGAATTACATTTCATTGTAGACCTTCAGGGTGCGATATGCTGTAAAACAGGGGTTCCTAGACTTTTAAGATAATGGAACTCCTATCAAATAGGTCATTTTAAATTTTCGCGTCCTTTTAAACGTTGCCAATAAAAATCGATTATGCAGGTATAATATAACTGTAATCGTGTCACGTTAAGTCTAAGATTGTAAATTTAAAACACCCACCAAATACTTTTTAGACATGTATTTTGTGTTGCCTAAAAATAATATTTTTATTATAGGAAAAAAAAAAATAATCGTCCAACCTTGTAACTTTCCTATGGAACGCATAGGTTCTTCGAAACTGACTTTAGGAATTCCTGCTATAAATTATAATTAGCACAGAAATTTTGTAAATGAAAAATAAAAAAAAAAAACATAAAATCTCGAAGCAAAACTATAATTATTGTGCAATATAATATAATACTCTGACCTCTATAATATTAATAATAAGTTTATAATTAAAATGTGTTTATACGTGTGTAATAATGGTTCCTGAAGATTTTATACTATTTTGATTAAACAAATGTTTAAACGACTGCTATGTAGCTTCTTTCTGATTTCAGGTTATTTATTAAATAATCTGTATACTCATTATCAAATAATACTATGAAGGCATTTTTTTTTATACAACTTAGAATGGCAAACAAGCTGACGGCCCACGTAATGAAAAGTGGTAACCGTCGCCTATAGACATGAGCAGTACCATGGACATAACAGAGTATATTGTTTCGCCCATGATACCCCCCATGCGTTGCCATTTCTGAGGACTCAGGTGTTATTCCTTTGTACCCAGTAAATTCACGCCATATCAGGTTGTTTGCATGGCTGTGTGTGTAAGATAATTAATTGACATTAGTTTACATAAATAAGCGATGAACGTTATGTAAATGAATTATGTTGTAACTCCTATTTAATAATCCCATTAAAGTATTTTATGAGGTCTTATTCCATAATAGTAAAATGTACTTATAGATACTTACTTCGCTTTGCTTTACCTTACTTCATAAGGTGAAAACTACAAGATTGTGTTCCACAAAAAAAAAAAAAAAAGAATCCGACTTCAGTTGTGTAGTAAAAAGCAAATATTTTATTTAAAAAATCTAGTTATTTTGATTTAAAAACTAAACTACTGAATTGATTTTTAAGAAAATACCTATGGGACCAATTTGAAATATACCTTTCAGATAAAAAAGAATTTTCAGGTGTCTTTAAGTAATTGAGGAATTTATAGGTATATAACAATTTCGACAAATTGAGAACCCCTTCCTTTATGGTAAGTTGGTTAAAAATAAGTACGAAAACAATTTTTTCTCTTTGTAATAATTTGTTTTGATCAGTGCTTTATTTATGGATTATGGTGTCGTTCAATTGATTTATTGTTTCTAAATAGGTAACAATATAATGTCTCCAACTGTCTACTTTATTGGGCATCTCTTACTTTTAATGTTAAATAGAAAATTATTTGAGTTTTATTAATTAAACTATGTGTCTATTTTTATAGTAGAGTTTTTATAAGATAGAGAGAACCGAGTTCTAAAAATCTATATCTCTAACACATTTCTTGTTATATCCGGTCATAATAATATGTATATATATAATATATACATAGAACATAAAACTAAGAATTTTCTCATACAATGAGTATAGAATATACTAAAACAGAAATTGCGTAAATCTAAAAATTTAAATTGGAAAAATATTTTGTTTTTTTCATACTAATCTAACAGTTGGTTGCGCCGTGTTAGTATGAGCGATTACATTTTTTTTAGTCGTTTTCGATCTACGTTTATTTGGCGAAAATACACAGTTTCTCTGACAGAACTATAGGGAGATTTTATTTAAAAATCTTGTACACACCACTGTCCTACCCGTATTTCTGCCATGAAGCAGATGGCTGTTTTCATGGCTGTTTCGGGTAGATTGCGCAGTGAAATTATAGGCCATGGAGGCATAAAATCATGGTTTTCTGGAATGATGGTGAATGAGGGGCACCATAGATATCACAGAGTATTCTGTGACTTTATGTTTTGTAGACAATTATCATCAGGTCATTCATCAGCTCATCCATTCTTAATTACACTTAAATACATTACCTAAAAGGAAACTTAACAATTTCGATTGCATTCTGTATAGGTACTTTTCTGTTCAGGTGATTATCTGACGAAACTCTTTGTTACTTTAGCGTCAGACAGTACCTGTACAATGCACCTGATAGTGTTCTATCTAGTCTAGACTAGATCTAGACTAGTCTAGACATTTCCCCCGGCGTCTGCAACTTTACACTTTGAATTATGAGTATTTTTTAAGACGCTTGCGTTAGAAAATAGATTTTCAAATGGGCGCGTGTTCGATTTTCGCATAATACAAACATTTGTTTTATGAGTCTGTTTGTATTATACTGAGTTTTTTTGTGTTATACAAAAAGAAATCACTTAAAACCTATATCTACTGGTTTTTTAGTATCCATAGTACAAGCTCTGCTTAGTTTGGAACTTGATGGTGCTCTGTTGTCCAGAATAATACCTGGTGGTATTATTTATTATTTACTTATTTGAAGTTTTTTATATACGAACGTTGAATTAGGCTTCTTTTTCAATTTGTATTTGTTGAGTATTATATATTTATTAATGTTATAAATGTGAAAGTTATTATCTCTTAGTACCTAAAAGGCTTGACTAATCACTATGAAATTTCATAGCCAGGTATTACTTGTATATGGAATGGAGAAGGCCAGAGGCTATTTTTCATCCCACTCAATAAACATATCTTGGTCATGCGGATGAAGCCGCGAGTAAGAGTATTTAAGAAATAGATAAAATATCTGTATTATCAGAGATATGCATAAAGATACATACATACATATCTGTCACGCCTGTCTCCCATTAGGATGGAATGGAACAGAAACAATGGAACGCCAAATGTTTCAATTCAAACAAACGTCTTTCGCTTCTTTCACATTCATCAATCTTTTCATACACGCTCGCCGGTTACGGGTACTTTTAATTTGGTCTTTCTTCAGCACGTCGCCTATTTGGTCGACATACGTCCGTCTAGGGCGGCCCTTACCGACATCTCCATTCATTCTTGCTCGATAAATCTCTTTCGTAATTCTTCTTTCATCCATCTTCTCCAAATGACCAAACCAACGCAACATTCCTTTTTCGATTTTTGTCACTACATCGTCTTTCAGTCCACACTTTTCTCTAAAGATTTTATACAAAATAATTTTAATTAATTAACCACAAATATTTTTTATATTCTTTGATCAGTATACATTCGCATAATATTCATAATGCGGATGTCACGTTTGGTAGCAATTAAAGGCTCATCCGGTAGCAAGTACAGAATTTTGGCAACTGTTTTGCAGTCACGGCGTGTTTTATAGCGGTGCTATTGTGGTAATGTTGACGTTGTAATACTGTTTTAATGTATTATAATCATGTAATGAATATGTAGCTAAGCTAATTGAAGACAACGCGTAGCTTATTATGTCTATACATTCATTACGACGTTGAAATATCTACCTCTTCGTACGCCATCTGGGTTACAAGCAAACCTACACTATAATATTATATCTATGATTTATTTATAATAAAAAGGAAAGTTTTTATATATGGTAGAGATAATTAAATTATAATAATACTAACTTGTACTCGCGACTTCGTTCGCGTGACCGGGATATGTTTATTGACCGAAATAAAAAGTAGCCTATGCCCTGTATCCCATATAGCATGTGTGTACTAAATTCCATAGTGATTGGATAAACTGGTAAGGAGGTAATAAGCTCACTTTCACATTTATAATATTAATAAGGAAATTAATAGGGATACACTTTATGAGATCGTTAATTTACGTAATTTATAGAGCATAAACAACATTGTTATATTTATAAAGAAATACAAATATAATTAGGTAGTATTTACATACAAAGAGATGCAAATATGTTTGTGCACAATATTTTCAACCGACTTCAAAAATAATGAGGTTTTGAATTCGGTCGTATTTATTTTTATGTTTGTTACCTCATAATGCCGTTTGAAAACAGATTTGGAAAATTTCATTTTTTATCTTATCAATTAAAATCTTTAATTATTTATTATCGAGAGATGCTTAATAAAAATCAGGATGACATGGAAGTTATTGTCATCGTTGTAAGAGATTTATTTGACTACTAGACACGCCATATTACATAATAAGGGTAGCTCAAAATTTTTGTAGTTTTTCTAGGCAGAAATATTCAGTTTAACGTCCAAAATATTTCTTTTAAAAGACATTATACGCGTAATGATTTCAATTTTACCCTGTAGATTGGTTAGACAGGTAATCATTAGTCAATCTTTTACAAATGAAAAGACATTCGAAATTCGGATTGGTTTAAGCAAATGTAAATTAGAAATGTCAACAGATTGCTTTCTCTCAAAATAGATAAATTACCCTGTCGTCCAGAGACGGAGTGTAATGTAAAATATTTTTAAGTTGAAAGAAAGTAGGTCTCATTCTCTATAATTAACTTTGCAGAGAGCAAAGAACAGAGGGGTCATTGTGAGTGTAAATATAAACGATCTTCCGATTACCATAATTGCATTATGTTCTCGACGTAATTTTTTTTTATTTGATTCATTCAAACTGTCATCATTGTCATATCAGCTGTTATCTGTCAATTGTTGAATACAGGCCTTCCTCATAGACTGTTATATGGGTCGGGGCCGTTCCTTATATACAGTTTACCATTGGGGGATTTTGCCTTGCCTTTGGCTTTGCATGGGTATCCTAGTATATTCTATAACATGTGAAACTTACCATCCATCGTGACATTTGCAGACACCACACGAATAATCTCCGTTTCCATTGCAATTCGGAGACGTTCTCTCGACTTTCTTGCTACATTCACAAGCGCACGGCACATGGTACTTTATTATAGCTTCTTCTGTTGCATTATCCACATGAATTTTCACTTCAAAATACTCATGAGTACCAGAATTGATAGAACAAAAGTCCGTTTCAACTGTAAACTCTATCTCTGTAGTACAAATTCTATCTTTTCCGCAATTCGGAATAGTTTCGTGTAATTTAACATTGTTTTGTGTAGAATTGATGACAGCTGCCTTCACCTGTGGATTTAAGACGATTTTAATGATGCTTCACAATTAAAAAATCATTTATGTCAATTGACGTAAGATATGATTATAATAGTATAATTAGATATATGTTCCTAATTTTTAATGTGCATTGCAATATACATATTTACATTAAATTATGTATGTCAAGTAACTCTCACATACGATGCATCATAATAGACAATATGAATTATGAAGAGAAACTTACAATGACTGTCGGTCTGATGCATCATTGCCAAAAAATAAATTATTAAGGCAGAGCAAATACGAGTAATTTAAACTTTTTAAATAAACTGAACTTAGAAATGGTGTTATATTATTTTGGGAATAGCTTTTTATTTGTTTTATATTAAAAAGGCAGATAGATATATGAATTAATATTAGTTATCTAATATCACACTAGCATTCTGCGCATATATATTTTCTTTAGGAAATATAAAGTAAGATAATTGTTGTATATTGATTTATGGCTTTTATGAATATATAAAGATTTTTTATAAATATTAATGACATTAGTGTCGTTTAAATAAGTAGAGTGTTAACTTTGTTGTTAATAGTGGTATTATTTAGTACTTTAGTAAAACACACACCACACATAATTGGTGTAACAATCCATTTATGGAGTGCAAGCAACTAGTATTATAAACTTGTTAACCTTCTAATTAATTAATTATGCTAGAAATGAATAAATTATTTGTTGTCATTCAAAGAATAAATAAATAATTGTTAAGATGGGAAATAGTAAGCTAAAAGCTACAGAAAAATATCAAAATGTTATAATAAAATGCTAATAAGTGGCACAAAACATAGAGTGCATGATGAGGATACAGCTGTTAAGGCGAGTTGGCAACCGCAGTTGGACTTTGATGATGTTATAAGAGAGACGCTGCCCATTACTTGACCATTATGTTCCCTTAGTCGTCTCTTACGACGCCTGCGGGAAAGGAAAGAGTGATCTATTCTAAGCCGGGACCACATTACCCCGGCAGGGCACGGCACGTAGAGTGCATACATTCGTCATTATTTAGCTTTAATAAAATAATGCACGAAAATTAGAGATTTCCAAAGTATTGAGTACTGCTTTCTTTGGGGACGGAGAGGCCTGCACATGCACTTTTTGTGCGGGTCTTATGGTACAGAAATAACACAATCGATAATTTTCTTTTAGTTTTGAAATAAAAAATAAAAGAACGATAATACCCACGTAGGTGATCATTATTCCGATGTGTAGTAGTATTTTAATCAGATTATTAGACGATAAATAGTTTAAAAAGAAGGTCTGATACAAATAACTTTGAGAAGCCGTTTTATTTTTAAATAATATATAATTTGTGATATTTTCATACCTTTGAATCAGTTGTCGCGGTATATTGAAAAACAACATTATTGTGAATATTGATTTTTGTTGAGGCTTCTTTGTAGGCGGGATTGATGAGCTTCCCTGATTCCGTCAGCTCCGGTATAGTGGGCAATTCTTCCATATGACCGGGGCACCAGTTGTCGGCAGGAGCTATCGAGCATTGGTAGTCCTGAAAAAAAAATCTATTAGAATACATTTAATTATAGATAAGGATGGAAAATCATTGAATGTAAGATCATTAATAATTTTATATGTATTGAGTTACTATATCTTCGTTTGTTACTATGTTTAGAAATATTTTAAATATAAAATTAGAGAAAGAAAGACTTTACATCAAAGTTTTACCTTCTACTTATCCACCTGGCGGAGCACCAGTTGGAGATGATCGATGAGAATGAAAGCAGTTAAGTTGTCCCATCGCGATAAAGTTAACAAGAATTAACCACAATGGTTTGTAGAGGGAACCACGTGGAGGTTGACTTGATAGGCTTTACTAACAATCCACCTTCTTTGTAATATTCCTATAGATTATTGTTGTTAAATTTATTATATATGATTTAATTTTGTATGAAAGCATCTCGCACGAAGAGAGTACTTTAATCGAAATGGTTAAAATTAGCTACTTGTGTGTTGGCATTGCAGTCAGACTACAGTCTACGTTTATACTTCATAAGTACATTTAGCATAATGCTGTTTTATTTAAATATCTATATAGTATTTGATTTAGTTTTCATAAATAAATTAAAAATATATTACGAAAGAATCATTGATCAATTCAGAACCAATATAGAAAATTATTTTTATTATTACTATCGATTTATTAACATGATAAAATTTACTACGTTTTTTGTAGAACCTAATATTAAAATAAAATTTTATTACATACTCAAATATTTCAAAATATCTTATAATAATGCTTGACAAATCTATTTATCATATTTAAGTATAGTTAATGAATCATGAACTTATGTTTTCCATTTGAGTAAAGTCTACATAAAAAGTAAGTAAACACTTAGAGATATCCAAAATACATGAATATCATTACCGGCAGAAACGGTTGAATCATTAGTGATATTATAAACGTGGAAAGTGTGTTTGTTTGTCTGTTATCTCTTGGTGCCTTAACGGTCTAACTAATTAACATGAAACTTGATATACATTGTATATGTAGTATTTGGGATGTGATCAGAAGGTTATATCTTATCTGGTACAATCAACATATTATCTAGGTTGCACGAACTAAATCGCAGATAAAATATTGCATCGTTACAAAGTCAAAATTAGTATGTGTATGATAGTATACTGTATGTTCACCTTTTCCTTCATTTATAATGCTGACTGTACCTATCATCATCATTATTTCAGCCATTATCCATCTACTGCTGGACATAAGCCTCCCCGATAGACTGCCACTGACTCCTTGCAATGCATTTGAGGTCATTACTCCATCTAGTGGGGGGTCATCCTACACTGCGTTTGTCCGTACGGGGTCGCCACTCAAGAACTTTTTTTCTACATCGGTTATCGGTTCTTCGAGTTAAAGTGACCAGCCCATTGCCAATTCAGGTTGCTTATCCTTCGGGCTATGTCGGTTACTTTGGTTCTTTTGCGGATATCCTTGTTTCGGATTCTATTACGCAAAGAAACTCCGAGCATAGCCCTCTCCATAGCCCGCTGAGTAATTTGAAGTTTTTGATACGGGCTATAGTGTAGAACCATGTTTCGGTTCCATAAGTCATCACTGGCAACACGCACTGGTTAAAAACCTTTATCTTTAACATTGATTGTACCTATAATACAAAGCAATTATCAATAATCCCGTATGAAAAGACACTTCAATTTAACATAACTACGTAATTATAAAGCTGGCGCCAGAATGTACAGTCCGCTGATAAATAACCACAGTTGGTAACTTGCTTATGGACTTGGAAGCAAAATGCAATACGTACTTATTTTATATTACAATTATCTATACGATTTATTTGTGTAAATGTAAATCTCGTTGAACGCATTATACTATAGTGATGAATGTGATGAGGTTTAAAGAACGTAACATATTGTCTTAATATATATATATATATATATATATATATTGTATTTTATTTTGATAAATTATAACTCTGATCATTATATTAACAAAGAAATTAATTGCAAATAATAATATTTCAATTAAAAAAAAAAACAGTGTAATGATTAAAAAAATTTATTAGAATTGAGAAAGATTTTGTTAAATAAGGTACAATATTATGCAGATCTTATCATCATCATATATATCATTATCATGATCATATTGGCATATAAGTCATTACTAAATAAATATTTATAAATTATTTTACACTCAATTTAATATTAGTATAACAAAATCAATTTATCCTTTTTTGTTACAAATGCTTTAAATATAAGAATCTCCAGTCCATCGTTTTTGAATACTAATGTATACAGAAATAGCTATAAAGTTGAATATTGTAAAGCAATTTTTGCAGTTAATATAAAACTGTATACAAAATATTGTAACTGAAATTATAACTTGGCATTTTGTTATTGAAACAAAAGATGCAAGAATTTCATCTACAATGAAAATATGAATCGAAATACTTAACTCGTTTGTAAGTATAATACGAAAAATATATGTTATTTTTAAAAATAGTAATCATAATGCAACCGCGTTAGCTTTTAAGGAAATCTTTTTATTTATTTAAAACCAGGCTGGATTCCAAGAATTGAAATTTACTGTATAATAAATGTAGTCTTACATTCAGACTCTAGCAAGAGTTTGTAATAGTATCAAGCACGTATTATACCTATCAATTTATTTCAACAATGTCTTGGTTCATAGCCAAAAGTATTGTGGGTATCACTAGACGTAATTTCTATTTAATCTCAGATTGCACTAACACTTAACAGGCCAATAAACTCGTAAGTACTTCGCGCGTATGAAACAGAATATGTGGGAGTCACTGTAATAGCTACGTTGACGATTATATTCCCTTTTACCGCCCTTTTGAGTCAGAATATGGTTCTCTCTTTCATACATTGTAATTAGGATAAAGATAGATATAGATATCGAAAGGTAGGATCTACAGTTACTGTTATAATGAGTAGGTACCCGAAGTGTGGGTGGCGTGAACTATCTGGAGAAACGTTAGTTCCGCTGTCGCAACATCCATCCAGTCTAGTACCGAGTAGTATTGCCTGTTTCAATACAAATGTACGCGTAAATAAGTAAACAAATGGATTTTAAATAATATTATTATGCAAACATGTCTCTGCTAGGTGTGGTCTACAACATTATGGTGGTGTGTTCAACTGTACATTTTATGCACATGATAAAATGGCTATATAATATGTAGATATATATATTTTTTATACAACTTAGAATGGCAATGACATACTGACGGCCCACCTGATAGAAAGTGGTAACCGTCGCCTATAGACATAAGCAGTACCATGGACATAACAGAGTATACTGTTTCGCCCATGATACCCCTCATGCGTTGCCATTCCTGAGGTTTCAGGTGTTATTCCTCTGTACCCTTCAAACCGAAACACAGTCATGCAAACACATAATATAAGATATAATGACTCAGTGGAGTCAATAGTCAATATATCAACATATATGGTAACAAATGTGATATTTCATGACAATCTCATCATCAATTATTAACCTGTATAAATAACACCTTAACTGACCTTATAAATAAGATCAATATATCCACTTTTATTTAGCCCTCAGGAATGGCAACGCATGAGGGGAGGGGGTATCATGGGCGAAACAATATACTCTGTTATATCCATGGTACTGCTCATGTCTATAGGCGACGATTACCACTTTCCATCAGATGGGCCGTCAGCTTGTTTGCCATTCTAAGTTGTATAAAAAAAAATGCTAAAAGACACACAATGTTAAACAAATTTTAAACTCTATACTTATTTATTAATTTACACTTTATTGCATTGAATTAAATTATGTTTTAAACTAATCTCGATACGTATAAGACATTATATGCTGGACTAGAGATGGGCAATCCACCTGGGTGGGTTTAAAGTCTGGTGGGTAAAAACCGGGTGTTTTGGGTTTATTGGGTTTAAACCCCATAAACACCCAAATTTTTGGGTGTTTATGCTTTTGTACTTCATCATCGTCATCTCAGCCGCAAGACGTCCACTATACTGGACATAGACAATATTATTATGCAGCCTACAGAATAAAAAACTTTTAATTTGATTTTGAGTTTATTAAGAAAGAGATGAAAGTAAAATGTAAAACTACAGTCAATCACTGTCAGATTCAGAGTTATTACAAGCGATGAATTGTATATCGATAGGCTCTATTTCGTCTAAACTGTTATGTTCATTTACTTGCTCAATGAAAGCTTCTAAGGTATTTTCTTCATTAAACTGAATGTCCTCGCATTCAGCTTTATGTTTAAGATTCCAGTTATAACAAATGAATGAAATTTTTTCAGTTCTTTCAGTTGTAAGTCGATTTCTTTTGTTATTATGTATGTAGCCTTGGATACTAAAGGAACGCTCAGTGGCTGCCGAAGTACAGGGAGCTGATAGAATACGAATCGCTACTTTGCTTAACTCAGTGGAACCACAAATACCTTTCCACCATATTAGGGGCTCAATGCTATCTAATGAGCTCCATACAAATCCTCTGGCCCAAAAGTTTTCTTTAGCTTTATAACACGCCAAATCTGCCATTACATTTGACAAACTTAAGTGTTGGCTTAAATTGTAGATAAACTCCATACCCTTAAGTTCTTCCTCTTGAGTAAGTTCGAAGAGTCCTGGGGTCTAGAATATATGCTGCAAAATGTATTGGCCTCATTGCCATATTGCATCTTGAAGATACTGATGTTAGAATCTGCTGTTTGCTTTCTTCGCTCAATGTCGAAATCTCATTTAATGCAAAACGTATCTTAGCTTGTACATCTCTAAATGTAATGTATGTGCGATGCAAACGATTCTGGTCGCTCTCTAAGTAAAATATGCTTTCAGTGACTGGTTCCAAAATACTTATACATTCCCCTGTCTTCGTCCAGAAATCATCACTTAGAATTAAATCTTTAATATCTCTTGAAATTACCACATCTTCTCTAACTGTTAATATTTGCAAAGCTATCTTATTTGCTTTCAAACTTTTTAACGAAGTAACATGACTTC